CGTTAAAACGCAACATTTCAAGTTGGAAGACTGGAAAACAGTTAAGAGAATCGTTAGGAAAGATTGCTTTCTAGCGACAATTGACTTGAAAGATGCGTATTATTTAATTCGCATAGCGGACTCCGATAGGAAGTATTTAAGATTTTATTTCGAAGGGAAGCTCTATGAATTTTGTTGTTTGCCTTTTGGACTTAGCTCTGCTCCCTATACGTTCACAAAGATCATGAAACCGATAATCAGTTATCTGCGAGAAAGAGGTTATGCATCGGTAATATACCTAGACGACCTTCTTTTAATCGGAAATTCTTTTGAGGATTGCTCAAAAAATGTAAAGGAAACGCGCGCCGTACTAGAAACTTTGGGGCTGGTAATTAACGAGCGTAAAAGTGAAATGACTCCGTCCAGAAAGAAAAAATTTCTTGGTCTTATATACGACTCAAAGAGAATGTACATAGAACTTCCGCGAGAAAAAAGAGATGTTGCCATGAAACAAATCGAAAAATTCAGTAAACTCAGGCATTGTACAATTCGAGATTTTTCCATATTTATAGGAACTCTAGGATGGTGTTGTAAGGCTCAGAAATACGGTTTGATTCATATGAAGGATTTTGAGCGAGAAAAATTTTTGGCCCTAAGAAGTAATGCCGAAAATTTTGAAGCAACGATGACACTCTCGGACGGACTGCGAGACGACTTTAAATGGTGGGAGAATAATATCCGGTCGACAGGGAATCCGATTCGAGAGTTTAAATCTGTTGTTGAGATTTTTTCTGACGCGTCGAGTACAGGTTGGGGTGCATTTTGCGATGGCAAACGAGCTAATGGTCATTGGAACAGCGAAGAGAAAAAAGAGCATATAAACTACCTCGAATTGTTAGCGGTATTTTTCGGGCTTAAATGTTTCGCGGCGCGATTGACAAATTGCGATATACTATTGAGGATAGACAATACGACCGCAATTGCCTACATTAATAGAATGGGAGGCATTCAATTCCTAGCGTTGAGTAAATTGGCCAAACAAATTTGGGAATGGTGCGAACAAAGACGAATTTGGATTTTTGCATCGTACATACGCTCTCTAGACAACGTAGAAGCAGATTTTGAGTCGAGACGCTTGGAGCCGGAAACAGAATACGCTTTGTCCGATAGCGCGTTTCGAGCCATTGTGAAAGAATTCGGGAAACCAAATATCGATCTATTCGCGACGAGATCGAATACGAAGTGCCGGGAATTTGTTTCTTGGTTCCGAGACCCTGATTCGATAGCTATCGATGCATTTACGATAAAATGGAAAACGTATTTCTTCTACGCGTTTCCCCCGTTTTCAATCATTTTACGAGTCCTCGAAAAGATCAAGTTTGAGAAATGTCGAGGAATTGTTGTCGTTCCTCACTGGCCAGCTCAGCCCTGGTTCCCAGTGTATATGGACATGTTAGATTGTAGACCTTTATATTTTAAACCTAATATCAATCTTTTACGTACCTTAAATAGACAACCGCATCCGTTGTGGGAACGGATTACCCTGGTTGTCGGGACGTTATCAGGGAGGCGTTCAGAAGAAAGGAAGTACCGGAGGAAGTAAGGAACCTGATGACACTATCTCTCTCCGAGTCGTCGATAAGGCAATACAACAGCGGTCTAAAAAAATGGTGGACATTTTGCCAAGGATCAAATACGGACCCTTACGAGTATTCGGTTCCTGCAGTACTACGCTTTCTGGGTGAAGAGTTTCGCGATAAGGCGTCACTTGGTTCATTAAATTCATATCGATCAGCTATCGCACTTCTTCATGGACCTGAATTGGGTGAAGATTTCAGAGTCAAAAGATTTTTTAGAGCAATCTCAAAGGTACGTCCCACGAAACCGAAATACGAGTCTACGTGGGATCCGCAGCAAGTACTGGATCACGTAAGCCTTTGGGGCGACAATGAAGATATGCCGTTGGAAAAGCTTACCCTTAAACTCGTAACGATTTTAGCACTCACGAACGGACAGCGTATGCAAACTCTTGCATTAATCGATATAGGGAATATTGAGCGAGGAGCTAACGTTATCGAGATAAAGATCCCGAGTACGA